ACTTGTGTTATCTTTGACTAATATTTAAATTTGTTTGATGATCTGAAACATTAAAGTGTGACAAACATGCAAAAAAATAAGAAATCAGGAAGGGGGCCAACACTTTTTCTGTATACATACTGTGTGTGTGTGTGTATATATATTTTATAAATAGTGTGTGTGTGCATATATATATATATATATAATTATTGTATATATATATATATATATATGTGTGTATAAATATTGTATAATTATTGTATGCTTTCAAAAGAGTAAATAAATTTAAAAAATACAAAATATATAGTAAATTTAATAATCAAATAAAAAAACATAAATATATAAAATAACCATAAATCAATTCATTAAAGGCAGTACAACAAATACTACCTCGGTAAATATATAACTTAAATATAAATATATAACTTTTTTTTTTGCATTATTGAAATTATCTTTTTCACATTAAGGTCATTTAAAACTGGGGAGAAAATGTGATTAAACAGGTTTTATTTTCATCAAACAAAACAGTTTATTTTTCTTCTTCTTTTGATTATAGGGTCAAATATCAGTTAAATAAAAATGCAGACATGTTCTTGACAAGTTTTGTTGGTTTCATCCTTGACGGTTTGAAGATCTGCACAGGTCTATTGGTCTGCCAGCAGCAATGCTGCATTGTGCTTTTACTGGTTTTGGTCTTCAATGTTCTGTATTTCAATGACAGATTCACATTCAGAACCAACAAGCTATAAAACATATGGCTAATCTTAATCGTTTGGTTTGGTTTCATGCTGAACAGATGCTAACTGTTAATAAGATATGACATCAACATTAAACAGATTATTGCAAATCTGCTGTTGCACAGAAATGAACCAAATGTACCTCCTCAAACATTTATCAGCTAACAGCATTCTAGAGTACCTCCATATTTTCATAAATAGCCGTTTTTATTCTATATACCAGTACTTCTCAAAGTCCGGACTCCGGTCCGGATCCGGACCCAGAGGAAATTCAGTTCGGACTCGCCTCCATTTAATATTTCAAGAACACTAATTATTTCCTACTTTGATAAATGCATGTTAAACTTGTAAATCATATGTTTAGTTTTTAATGTCTTTTTGGAGATGGTCGTTTGGATATGACGTTTGACATAATCGGACGACATTTCACACTGCGTTAATCGCGCGTTAATAAAATTAATGCCGTTAAAATGAATTTGCGTTAACGTGTCATTAACGCGTTAATTTTGAAAGCCCTACTTTCAACACCTTCTGATGTTTATTCATGTTTATTTCGCAACATTAAAGAGTGCCAAAATGGTATTTAATGTTTGAATTTGGTAATAAAATTGACAGAATTTGAACACCGAGACTTTGTTTCATATGAAAAGTAACAAAACATAAAGCTTATCATGATTTACTGGAAAGGAGGAGCGCTAAAAATAATGTTTTGCTCATGCATCAACTGAAAACAACAGATCAAGTCTCGGGACTGAAGAATAGATATGGGTTTAACAAAGTGAGAATAGATTAAAATGGAGAAATCAATATTTTTTGATATTGACAATCATGTGACTGACCACTTGAGCAGCGTGTTTTCAGGTTTGTACTGTAATATCACAGAACTCGCTCCTCCACCATTAATAAATGACCATGCAAAGTATTTCTACAGATGTCCCCATGAGAAACAGTTATTGTCTGAACAGGGCTAATGACAGCGGCTCTCTTTCACTCGTATGCTGACAGATCTTCAGCTCAAGGTCTTGATGTTCTGCTGAAGTGCGTGTCTGACCTTGTTGGCGCTCTTGAGCATCTCCACCAGCTCCCAAAAGCTAATCAGAGCCCTCTTGTCCACGCGCTCCATGTAGACACGGAAATGCTCCCGGTACACTGCGTTTGACATGATCTCCTCAAACTGAAGTATCTGTGAGAGGACAAGAAACAAATGAAGCAGACAGTGTTATTATTAAAAGCACTTGAAAAATTTACGCTGCAGTGGAAGTGGCGTTTCATCTTGAGAAGGCTGGGTAATTTATCAGTAACACTGACTGCCAGCCGACGAGGATGTTTCTTCTCATCTTTTAAAGGGTTTCTATTCTTTTGGAGCATCTTATATTTGTTTTGTGTAAGTCAAGGCTTGTCTCTAACCCTAAGAATTAAGAATATTTTTGCTTTTGTACCTTTAACACTATATAGTAAATATATAGTAAATGTTGGCTAACCTCCTTGCACTGACAAAATTCACACAAAAGTACCTTAATATGCAGCTTTGATGCTCAACAAACATTTTTTATTATCATCAATGCCAAAAGCAGTCTTGCTGCTTCATATTTTTGTGGGTTTTTTAGCATTCTTTGATGAATAAAAAGTTCAAAAGAACAGCATTTATTTGAAATATTTTATATTTAACAAATGTCTTTACTGACTCGCTTTTGATCAATTTAATGCATCCTTGTTTAATAAAAATATTAATTTCTTTTTAAAAAATAAATAAATAGCTTACTGACCCCAAACTTTTAATTGGTATTTTTATAATTTTTAAAATTGTATAATTAAAACAAAAAATAATAATAATTTTAATTAATTAAAAATGTATTTATTCAATTTTGTTTTTTAATTAATGTATTAATTTTTTTATGAATGAATGAATTAATTAAAGTTTTTTATTCATTTGAGTTTTTAGTTATTTAGTACATAAATTTAAACTAAATGAAAATGAGAAATATTGCTGTTAATGTTAACTAAAATAAAATAAAATAAAGTAAAAAAATTTATTTTATTTCAAGGAATGCAATTTATTTAATTATTTTTTTCATGTATTTATTTATTTTTTATTTTAGTTTTGGTTAACTATAGTAACCCTGGTGTTAACTGAATAAAAACAGGTTCTCGATTCTAAGCACTAGTAAATGCTAATAGACTAAGGGTGCTTTCACACTAGCACTTTTGGTGCACACCCAGGTTCGATTGACGTCAGAGTTCGGTACGTTTGGATGATGTGAACGCGGTCTTCCGACCTCGTGTGCGCACCCGCGAACCGTACCCGAGTCCACTTAAAAAGGGTGGTCTGGGGTACGGTTCAAGTGAACTCCGGTACGGTTCGCTGCTGATGTGAACGCAATCGTACCAAATCACGGAAGTGAACCGCTATTAATGACGTATTATTTGATAAAAATGTGTGTTTGTGTGTGTTTCACTCACTTTCTTGACGAGCGTGACTGACGCGCTGCAAGCAGAGAGCTGTATATCTCATTTCTGTTCGCCTTCAGAGTACTTTAGACCATTTGCAGTACATTCGTAAGGCAGACGTAATGCCGTTATGTACTGAAGCTTTGGAAACAAAACCAACGGTTCAAAAACATAATCCGGTACGGTTCGCTGCTGATGTGAACGCAATCGTACCAAATCACGGAAGTGAACCGCTATTAATGACGTATTATTTGATAAAAATGTGTGTTTTTCACTCACTTTCTTGACGAGCGTGAATGACGCGCTGCAAGCAGAGAGCTGTATATCTCATTGTTCGCCTTCAGAGTACTTTAGACCATTTGCAGTACATTCGTAAGCAGACATAAGTGCCGTTATGTACTGAAGCTTTGGAAACAAAACCAACGGTTCAAAAACATAAATATAAAATTGAAGAGAGCCTTGCTACGCATTTTGCCGTCTTCTCCTGCGCCATCGTTACTAAGCAACGGGATAAACAGCTGCTGGCTTGATGACGCAAACGAACCGCGGTTCGGACCCAAATAATATAATGTGAACAGTCCAGCGGGGGCAGGGGGAGGGGGGCAATCGAACTCTGGTTCGGACCAAGCAATCGAACCAAGTGTGAAAGCACCCTAA